CTCTTCCTATTCATGGTGCAGGTGATAATTACTTACCATGCCTTGGTTAAGGGGCTGTAAGCACGTACACAGTACTGTGCTTGTATTTTGTCTTCATATTAGTGTAGCTGAACAAATGAGTCCTCTTTTTTTTGTCAAGGGAGTGGTTAATGAAAGTATGCAGACTATTAACATTAACATGAAGTCATTTTGTTATAACTGCTTGTGTCATTTTTGCTGAGAACTACCTTTGCTCCCCACCATCTCCCTGTCCACGCTCACAGAGACACTGTACAGTTGAGGCTGGAGGGTACCTCTGCTCAGATAGAGACTGTATCCAGTTGAGTTTCAAATATCTCCAGGGATGGAGAAGTATCAATGGAATTTAAAACATTTCCATAGCCTCCCTGGGCAGCTGGTTCATGTGTGTAGACCTTGTCCTGTCATTGGGCACCACAGACAAGTGCCCAACTCTGTTGTCTCTATGCTCCCACTGGATACTTAAGAGCACTGATAATATCCCCTCTAGCTTTCTCTTCTCCAGGTTGAACAGTCCCAGCTCTCTCCTCATCAGATGCTTCTTCTTTGTGTCCTTTGCTGAATTGGCTCCATGATGTCCATGTTAGACTTGTACTGGGGAGCTCAGAACTGGGCCCAGCATTCCAGGTGTGAATCAACAGTGCTGGCTAGAAGGGAAGTGTCACCTCCTTTGATCTACTGGCAACACACTACATAAGCAGCCTTTAGCCTGCTAAATGGGCTTGTGGAATATTAGCCTGTTGCCCTGTAAGAGAAAGTTAATGCCTCAAAGCCAAAACGACGTGTCAGATCTGAGCATTCTTGTATTAGTAATGGTGAAAACCCAAAGTAACATTCTATAATATTCTTACAAATCTTGAACCTATCTAATACCTGAGTAAGAAAAGACAAAGTGCGACACACCACTTTGTGATTAGGTACAAAAGGCTAGAGCTCCTTTGGCTGCTGCTCCTGTACTCTCCTTCTTCCCCCCTGAGCTCATACCCATCACCCTACGTCTGCAAAGAAAGCCTTTCTTCATGCTCTTCAGTGGACAAATGAATGTATGGTAAACATGGATTAGGGAAGTGCTTATAAAAATGCAGATTATTTTCCAAAATGTGCATCTTTTAGATAACCCCTTACAGCTTCTCTTAAAGCGTGAGCATACTGTATGCTTCTCATTACTAATCCTAATGATTTCCTTCCAAATTAGCTGTTACTAAAGTACTTTTTTTTATTATCATTTTTATGTGTGAAGACTATTCTAATTCATGTCATATTTCCCCTTTTGCGCAGCTGACGCTAACTGAAGCCCCCTAATAGCTGACCCTATGTAAATAATATGGAATTTTCCTGTAGGACTCAGACACCTGCTAAAAAGATCTTTGGGAGGAGGATTGCTGGATTTGGAAAGGGGCTTGTGGCACATTATCTGTATAAACAGAGTAAGATGTATTTCATTTGCCCTGGAGAAGTATAATTGTAATGTATATATAGCCTATACTAGACTATACATTCTGTAAATTTCAGAAATTATCTGAATATTGCTTCTCTTCTAGTCAATGAAAAACAGGCTTTTTGGCAGCAAATAGAGAACCACTTCAAGTGCAAAGGAAATAAAATTTAATAAGAACACATTACTTTGAATAATATACATATGTACATTTTTGTACTATAACTGCCTTACAGATCAGTTTCTAAGATGGTATATTAAAAGATACTGTTGCATTGAAAGAGTTAAAAGAATGAATTTATTTTAAACTTCAAATGTCTTTTGCAATCTGACATGTTGCATCTATTACTTCTCATGGAGACTCTCTTTTGTAAAAATCTATTCCAGTGAATAACTCCCATACACGATTGCTTTTTTTGTTGTTGTTGTTGCTTTTTTTCTTTTCATTAAAAAGAAAAAAAAAAACAACTGTAAATGGGAGGCATTGTGGGCTTGATTCCTCTATGTCCTTCCCTCCCATCATTATAGTGAAATGCACAGGCTTCCATACTGCAATTTTAAGCTGTCTGTTTGCTTTTTGTAGCTGTGAACAAGGATAAAAAGTGAAAGCTAAAAAAAAAGACATATTCTTGAAGAAAATAGCAATTAAAAAGCACCCAAAGTCTGAAGATAAGCTGGCGTAAGCCTTTGCCATTTTTAGAGTTGTTGGCATTTCCTTTCAGTAATGAAGGTCAGTTTTGTGTTTTCAGATGCTTTGGTTTCCTGTTTCCGTGCCTTCATATACATCTAGAAAAGAACAGACATGATAGTGGTTGTCCACAATGCCGTCTTTATTTATTTTTATTAAAAAACCACTGTTGCAAACATATACCCAAAGCAGCAGTTCTAAGCACAAAAGGAGAACAGTTCTTTAGCACGAATGAGGGTAGATTTGTGACACACTGATATTTGGCTGAATTTTTACTATGAACAATAAACGATCTCTAGTCTTGAAAGATAAGACCAGTGGCAAAACATGTCTGAGCTACAAATAAATTATGCCATCAGTGCTAATACAGCACATCACATTGCTGCTTTCTTGGTACAAATATTTCAAGTTCTTCATATATTTTCAGCAGTAATGCACCTGCTAAAGAGTCACAGCAATGTGAACTGTCAGTGCTTACGTACAAGAACTGGTTAAACTTGCTCGATGGCTTTTGCAGCCGTTTTATGATCTCTTTCATATGTGTCATGGGTTGGCAATATGTGGAACGTTTGTTGTCCAGTTTGTCACTACTGATACCTAGTTTTGAATATGTGCATTTAATGCAATCACTATGAATATGCTGCTGCCACGTAACTTCCTGTGACTGTCTCTGCCAGAGATGGAGCTCAGCAGTTTCCTCACAAACATATCTCATGTTTCCACTTTAATTCTTGGGAGAGAGGGGGCAAACCTGCAAAATAATGTTGCATGTAGCAACAAATATCATCATAAAACCCAAAAGTGCCAATCCAGCTATTGGCCCAGGTCAGTTTTCTTTTTAACAGCAATTAGATATTGAATCCCTCAGTCCAAACCCAAGGGAGTTTAAGTATTTAAGTACTCTTGTATTTTAAGACCTGCGGCACAACTAAACATCTTACAGTTAATTAGTGCTTAGAGGTATAGGTGCATGTGTGTGTGTGAATGAAAAGGATGACAAAAATGTAAGGAAAAGTATTAGAAAAAAGCAATTCGCAGAGCATTCTGCACTGGCTACTATAAGAATCTGCCAACACTGTCACTGGGATTTCTATAGCAAGAGACAGAACATCAGCTGACACTGCAGACAGCAGGTTCGTAGAGAGGATTTGAACCGTTTTCAGGCTAAAAATCTAGGATTAAATTATGAAAACATATTTTTTACCTATTTTTCCATGATTTTAATTCTAATAAAATTATGAAATGACAGCACTCCCAGTCAGGACCACTGAGAATATGAGCAAAATCATCACTTGCACAACAGACCTGTTCAGCTACCTTAACATCCATTATTTTGTTTTACACAAAGAGAAACTCCTGTTGTCAGCAGAATGAAGGAAAATCTTCTATCATTCTCCGTGAATGTAGCTGTCTACTGTACAGATGCCTGCATATCAAGTCCAAGGAGTCCATCCATAGGCAATCACTGCTTAGCACTACAGGAGTTTGGAATTACTTCCCCAGCTCCATTCCCTGTTTTCTGATGTTTTACTTTTTCCTTATACTCGGTGCTGAAGCATCCTGCTGCAAAACCAAGTGTCAACTTTATTATCCTAATTTATTCACTAGTCAGAGTGCTTCTTTGCAGATCAGGAATTGGAAAATTCACAAGAGCAGTTTTTCTAAGCTTCATTTACCCTTTATCATGTTCAGCAAGCCCCACCCTGGTTTTGGTAGTGGAAATTTTGCATGCATACTTCTTTTATAAAATCTGGTTAAATGAAGAGAGTGAAACATGGCTATGCAAATGAGTCCTCTACAACTACAGAATACTGAGTTGAAATCTGAACTGTCAGAAAGTTCAATTTACCTTCATTATGAACCCATTTAAAAGAGTGATGTATCAGTGAAAAAGTTGAGATGGGAGACATAAGATTAAGAAAAAAATGTACTTTATGATTGCTATTTTTATACCTGATTTAAAAAATCTGATTGATAGAAAAATGTCATCAGTAATTCATTATTAGCTTCTTACCAGTCAGCTTTCTTTTATAATCATGGTTACAAATACATAATTTAGATGCACAGCTGCAATTGTAACCTGCACATTTCTAGTAATATAAATACTGAACACTAATGTTGTCACATACTCAGCCAACTGCTTAGTATATTTGAAGAATATGTATTTTTTTTTCAATCTTAAGAAACCAAACAGATAGTAAAAACATGGAAAATGTGATAAAATAGGGTTGTTAACAAATAAAGTCTTGTGAGCTATTGTTAATTTGCAAGGAAGGCAGCCAACATTGAGAGTAGATTTATGGCAGCTATACAGCCATGACAAAAACTTTACAGTGCATTTGCTATTCTTATGCCAAGAGGTACTACAAAGAAGGTGATTTGAACAAAACCAGGAGTACCAGCCAGAGTACTGCAGAACATTACTTATTTTGCTCTAAATTATTAATTAAGACCCAAATGAAGACATCAGCTAATCAGATAACGAAACACTGCCTGTTAGTATTTCTGTGATCATTGCAGGCAATCTTTGGTCGTCAGTCAATTGACCAGTTTCAATGTTGAAGAAAATCCCCCAGTTTTTTTGGAACATGGCTGACAGGTCTTTGTCTGAAGATTTAACCTGCTGACTGGGAATTGCTATGAACTCAGTGCTGTGAAACCTCTTAGAGCACTTGGGAATTTTCCCTTGAAATGATGTTTGAAGATCTTAACTCTCTCTCTTCACACTTAGACAAAGGTGGCATGATAAAATTTCAGGCTGGAGTCTTGAAGGTGGGGGATTGTACACAAACCAGTGAAGGGCTGATGTAGCTTGCTTTTTTTTTTTTGCTGCTTTAAACCTTTCACTGGAATCAAACACCAGCCATTGATGTGTGAATTGTTCAGTCTCAGTCGCACACAGAAGTCCTCGTCTTTGAGCTACCATGTGTGCATGCAGGCTGTAACTTGTGGGAATACAATAAAAACTGTTCAGAGCAGAAGCTGTGGAGCAAGATAAACAGCAGTAACTTACTGTTGATGGTACTGCTGCTGCTGATTGGGAATATGCTGAATGACTTCATAAACTGTACTAAGTATGTCCTGGCCTGGGGCAATGTCAGAGCTGCGAACAGGCTGACTTGAAACCTAAAAGTAATAAAGAGTGTTTTTGCTGTAAGTACAAATTGATAAAAGTTCAACAGAAATAAAATTGGTAATGTAACCATTTTTTTTTTAACAGTGCTCTTCTCCATCAACACTTTGGGCATGGATGCAAAAGTTCATCCCTATTTGTTCACATTTTGTTCTGCAAGTTTTTATCACATTATAGTAACACAAGTAATATATTTAAAATCAAGTTGAATCTAAGAAGATTTAGAATTTAGCTTTTGTTTTTAATACAGCAACTATTTTATATTACTGTACCACACGTCAAGGAAGGAACATTCAGTAATCAAAGAGATAAGTAAGTGACTAAAGATAGAAAAAGGAGAAAATAGGAAAAGAGCTCAGTAGAAAACTCCCACCAGAGTGCGAGAACTGTGAGAAATTTCCATTAAAGTAGTAATAATGAATTTTTTTTAATATGTTACATATATGAATTAGTTCTTATGTCAGCAGAGCATCTAGACTCCAAATCCATCAGGACTTTCCATTGTTTTTCTGCCTATGCTCAAATTCCAGTTCTTTATAATTTCTGTTTTCTTTCTTTTCCATTTTCTGCGAATTAAAATGAATGTAAAATCAAATGCTGACTCTATCTGGCATACCACAGTTCTGAGCAGCCGTTTCTTGAAATGGTGCTGGAGATTAGGATGAATTTCATTGCATATCCACTCTTTTCTGGTCACCCCTGCTCCCTGACCAAGGCCCTAATTGCAGGACACCTAAATAATGATGTGAATTTGTGGTACAGTCAGCCCTAGGGATGACAGGATGCTCGTGACTGGGATGATTTAGGGTCTGATCTTCTGTGGGCCAATTTCTTGTTTATCTTCATCATCTGACATCACATGATATAGCTAACATTTATTTTTACAAACAATACTTTAAATACCCCCTGTAGCTTTTCTGAACTGCCAAAATGGTATGTTATATGAGCAGCAATACAGAAGAAGATGTTATTGCACCTATTAATTTGCTTTTAGGACAGTTGGTGGTTTGGTGTTACCCATCTACCCAACACGACTCTTTTTTAATAAGGGGTATCTGGATTGAGATTGTTCCCTTCAGAGTTTGATAAGTTCCCTACTGCACTGTGCCAATACGGAACTAATAACACAGTAAAGAAAGAACAAATACTACATAAACAACAGTGATGAATATGGTGTGATGAAAACATCTGTGAAAAGCAACAAGAGCAAGCAGACAAAGGGACTAGAGTGCAGGTATTCACAGAAACAGAAAGGAAACTATCACTGTGATGTAAAATCACATACTGTGGAACTGCTGCCACGATCAGGAATAGCCACAAATTCATATATCCCAAAATCATCCAAAGCACTTTCATGTCCTAAAGTTAAAAAAACAAAAATGAAAAACATATCAAGATGTAATACGAAACTGAAAAAGTTTAAGTACAGATGGGAAAGCACATTTCTCTAATAAAGAAAAATAAATTTGAATATTGGTTGTTTGATCTACTTTAAATCACTTTAAACCACTGAGGTGGCCTGAAGCGAGGCAGGGAAGCTGCCTCTCTAGTGTAGACACTGACTGGGGATCTGCAGTGCCTGGAACCAAGTGCAGAGCTTCTGGTTAACCTCAGCAACAGCTCTGCAAGAGCCATTGGAACTGCCTTTACTGGAAGTCTAAACAGACCCATCTGTTTTCATTTCCCACAGACAAGAAGTCCACCACAGCTCAGCACATCTACACTGTAGTGTGAGACAGTTCCACCTGATTCTTGTATAATCTTGCTGATTAAAAAAAGAGAACGTGATAAATGAACATGATTATTAAGCCACTTGACAAGTTGCATGTGGGACTTCAGCTGCAGTTTGTAGTAGTTAGGGTGGGTATCTGTCTACCCTCATTAACTCGCCCCTCTGTAGCAGATATTTTGACTCTTGTCTCTTGGGCCCTTACTCATAACACTCATTACATACTGGAGAGAAAAGTAGGAACACAAGTGGTTCTAACCTAGTTTAACAGCTTGAGCTCAAGACAGCAGGATACAAAGTATATCATAAACTCTAAACACCAGTCAAACATACACTGACATGTAGTCCTTCAGGTTTTTATCTTAAGAGAGATGGCATAGAAATCTATAACTCCAATTAAAACCACACTTCCTATCCTTCTTTTACTTAGCATTTAGAGACGCTAATTTTTTGCAAGAATGAAATTTGACCTTATGCTCACATTTCTTCCATTAGCATTACCTGAAAATGTCTGTGCCTTTCTGTAATCAGATTCTGGCCTAGAAAACATAAACACATTTTTCAGTTTGGTGTCAAAAGACAAGGGAAGAAAGTTAGTATGATAAAATTCAATTCTCATAGTGGAAAGGACTTCAAAATGTAAGAATGCTTTATTTTTGTACCTTCTCTGCAGCTTCTGTTGTATTACTGAAAAGAGCAGAAAAAAGAAAAATTAGTCTTTATGTTCTAATGTTCCAAAAGAATAGCTGGAGTGTGCTTAACTGTTACATACCTTTAAGTGGCTTATATCTTTTCCATATGAATAGGAAGCTCATAACTAGGATCAAAAATAATGAAATTCCAGTTATTACTGCAAGAGATGACAAAGATTTTCCTTTCTGGGCCAATTTTTCCAGTCCTGTGTCAAAAAAGATGAGTACTGTATTTAGTCTCCTGTTCTGGATAAAGTGCTATTATCACACTGAAATATGTATTTTTATAAATCACCTAAAGCAAACTCTTTAAAATTGTTTCAAGACAGCAACTTAAACAAATGCTTTTATTGTCTAGATGGTAACTGGTGAGTTAAATTAAGGTCAAATACATCACTTGTATATTTACAGTCAAAGGTCGGTTGACAATCATGGTTTCCCTGTTATTTCATTTATTTCACTTATTGATGTGTTGTTGCTGGAGCAACTACATTAATTGATTCTTGAGGCAGATGAAATAGGTTTTATTTAGAAACTGTTCTTTCTTTTCCCACGGCACAAAATATTTCTCAAGAAGCTGTGAGCAGCAGAAGACTCACTGCTCAAACAGAAGAGGTGCCCTTCTTGTTCCAGCCATGGCACTGGGCCCACAGCCACTCATGAACCCAATGTGGTTTCCAGTAGAGCTTTGCTCCTGCATGCCAGTGTGAGATGGCCCTCAGGTTGGTTGGCTCTGCAATTTTTTTCTCAACAGAAAGCTTGGGAGTTCCCATGTTTGCAGCTTGAGTCTAGATGGGAAGGAGTTGCTGAGAAAAAGGCGACCTAGGAAAGCTCATGGTGTATTTGTTTTCAGCGTGGCTGTGGAGATCTCACATACACACTATTACTTGGCTCCCTGCTGTGTTATCTGTTAATTCTTCATACAGTAGCCCATAGTTAGCTAGATGGCAGGGTAGATTTTCTCTTCTGGCATGGCAGCATACAGAAAGCAACAAGCTCCCTCATCTCTAGAACTAAGGCGGATTAGCACAGTTCCTGTTCATAGCATACTGCCTACAGAACAAGTTCTTCTTCCTCTACCTACAGGTTGTTAGGTCTTCCCAAATGGCTGGAGCCAGCCCTTTCTATCTAATTAGCAGTCCTCATATTGTGTGTATTTCCTATTCCATGCATGAAAGGACAATTCGCTGGTCACCAGCACAACTGCTATTTGTCTCTTGGGTTGTGCCCTTACTTAATAAATAAAATGAAATATCTCACAAAGTGCAAATATCACAAAGGTGGTAGTATACAGGCAGTAACATTGTGGAAACCGCGTTGGACAGTCTCTTGTATTATAACCATATGCCCAAGCTTTTCAAGTGCTTTTTTTTTTTTTTTTCTTTTCTCTTTTCTGGGTTTGCTACTGAAGAATTATAATTACAGAGAGCAAGCAATTCCTAGACTGAAAATCATCACATGAAAACTGAGAATGCCTTTTTGGGGAAAAGAAGAAACCAGTGCAGATTATATATGTTGAAGTAGCCCAGACCGAATGCTTTATGACAACTGATAACTTTCTACCCTTCAGGTTGTTCAGTGTGCAACAGACATTGCCAATGTTTTGAAAGGCACAAGTTGGGCTCTTTATCCAGGATTATCAGGAGAGGTAGAAGGGATGGGAAAGAATATTCACAGTCTTTGTTTATTATGTTTAATTCTATACAGATTGTGTTAATTTCTAAGCAGAATTTAGCCTAGGCAGTATCACTGAGGTTTAGTCTGGTGGGTGAATTCACACCACTTAAGTTCAACCAGTGCTGCCTTGCAGTGTGTTGGCTCAACATCTGGATTTAGTGCTATCTGAATGAACATCAAGAAGAAATGGCTGTAGAGGAGGGAAACTGACATTTTGGAAAAGTTTTATTTAGGTAAAATATTTTTAATTAGGAAATGTGTGTTTTGAAAAGGAACTAAACATGAAGCTCTGGATTTTTTCCCTTTTTCGACTTTGAAAGGAGAACTTGGATGAATTTCTTAATTCTCACTGATGAATATACTCATTTATATTGTAGCTGACATGAACTTCCTGGAGAAATGTCAGTCTTATTTCTAATGACACATAACTCAGTTTGCATTTTCTTTCTCCACTAACTGCAACCTTTAAAATGCAGCGTTCTCATTGCAAAATTGCAACCTGTCTTCCTTTCAGCATACTTAACACCATAGATTTGTGATGATTATATATCAGCCAGAACAATGGACATCTGCCTCCCTTGTTTACCTTGCTAACAAATGGCTGAGCTCTTTGTTCTGCACAAGCTAAGTTGCTTTGTTAAATTTTCTAACAGGCAATTGATTGCATCTCTTTGAACATTAACTTTATACAGTCCTTATCTGAAAAAAACTGATCCTTATTAATAAGGGATATCAGAGTTCCTCAGTATATTCTTTTAGCTGTGTGCTTCTAGACATTTCCTGAAACATTGCTTTATTGCTGTTTAATGCAATCTGATGCAGGAACAGAGGTTATAAAGTATAGGAAATACAGGAGATGTTTAGTAAAACCTAGCAGCTAATTCATAGATTCTTACATATGAAAGCAAAATAATTTTTACAAGCAGATTGTAATAAAATTATTCATTCATCATCACAGCTTGCATTATCATCATGCAGTAAACTGGGGCTCTTATAATACCTAATCACATAGGGAGTCTGTGGCTGGTTACTCCAGTCAGTGCCGTATGCTTGAGACTCTCCCATGCACTGGTCCCTCTTAGCTCCTGGATGGCAGAGAATGAGACAGTGAGCATTGGACAAAATCTGCCCTTGGGAGGAAGCGCTTTTCCTGGTATCCAACAGGTTTCTACAACATTTTCTCATTCCGTAAAGCTCCAAATAGCTGAATATGTTTTACTGTCTCCTACAAAACACTGATGTCTCGGTGGTATCGTTTAAAGATGCGACACACTGCAAGTAATACCTCAATCTCCACAACAGCCAAAATCCCACTTAATACATTATTAGCAAGACTTCATACATATGTTCTCTCTCTAAGAATAATTTCCTTTTCCTGGGCTAACAATCATCTCAGAAGCTATAGTTACAGCCAGGAATCACAATGTTCTTACCTGCAGAGGTAATGATCACTGTGAAGTGAGTCTCATCTCGTTTTCCAGTCATGTTGTTGAAAGCGCGGCACACATAATCTCTTGTCTTCTGAGCCACCGTATCAGACACAACTTCCAGGTGGGGTCCATATTGGATTACATGAGTGGTATTGTCAGCCCTTTGAATCCAGGAGTAAGTGTTTGGTGGGTTTGAATCAGCCGAGCAGTCGAACAGTACGGCTTCTCCTACGCTGACGGTAAACACCGCCCCTACCTTCAGACCTTTGTCTGATTTAACTCGGAGCCCATAAGGACCATCTGCATTGAAAAATATAGAACCAAGACATAATGGAAAAATTAAAATCAGAGTATGTATTTAAATTTTATATAAAAGCACACAGATTCCTTAAACTGGACTAGCTAGCCTTTAGAATGGCCGCCATTAGATTCAATTATTTCAATTAAAAGGCTTTCAGTTCAATCATTTGATCTTTGATCTTAGACTACACCTGCTTAATATTGATCTAATCGCTGCTTAGGGAAACAGCATGGGTCTATGTACTGTTCAGTACTGTAAAAACAATGGAGACTGAACGCACTTAGAAAAGTTGTGAAGTAAAGAAGCAGGTCTTCTGGGGTATATTTGACCTTTTCTACTAAAATGCCAAACGTATCGCTGTAAGTCATTTATCTTCATATTCAAAAGTAAATAAATTAGCTCTGAAATACATAAACAGTCAGTGTAATACTTAGCAGTACAATAATCATTGGCCTCTATCCTAGAGGTATACTTTAGAATGGGGTGTGCCTTAGATAACTTCAATAACTGACTGCTAAAATAAACTTCAACCTTCCCCTGTTTTAGTACATTTCAACTACTTCAACATTCAGGTTTCTACCAAAAGGAAGCCCTTGTGCCAGGTTTCTGAGTATAATTAGAAGGGAAATATATTGTTCAGTAGTCATGTTCATTACTGAGAAAATTGGGCTGCAATTTTTAGGGTAACCTTCACAGGAAAATGGAAAGGGAAATAATATATTTAAATATGATGAGTATTTCCTATGTTGTGTTTAGCTGATCATTTTGGATCCTGTTTTTTTTTTTTTTTTTTCTCCTGTCTTTCCATGTTAAAATTTATTTTTACAAGGATCTGAGTGTAAAAAAATGATGTAAAGAATAAAATAATTGAAATGTGCCTTATTAAGTTACTTTTTTTTCCAGTTAAAGAACTCATTATTTCAATGTTAATAATTCCCCAGGGGCATACATGCACAGTCAAAAATGTACACATCTATTACTGACAGATGCTGAAAGAAACTAAAAGAAACTATGGAAGAACAGGTGACTTCTCTTTGGTGAGATCCTTGGAGCTCTGTAAAACTGCTCTCAAGTGACTCCAAAATGACATTACAAGAAGACAAATAAGCCAATATTATGCCAATTTTAACGTGATCAAGTAATATTTCCATCTTCCTATGGCTGTTTGTAAGCATTAAAACCACGTAGCTGGTTTTGAATGTGCAATGTGCTGCTGTATGAAGAGGAACATTGACTCTATTTCTTATCAGGAAATTCAGGCTGACATTAGTTTTACTTGTAGTATGTATGCTTCTATTGATTGTCCACCTTGTTTTATGAAGCTTGAAGAGCACTTAAACAAGCTGCATGCAAACTGTTTCCTGTGTGCTTCTGTGTTTTTCTTTCTCTATTTGTGAAAGTTTAGGAAAGAAAATGGAGACTGCCACATGCACTTGAGTCAATTTTTAGCCAAATGTGCATATTTCACAATTTACAGTTGTCAAGCTTCCTATTTTCTATGTTTCTGTTTTAGTGATATGCTTTTCACAGTCTCATTTTAAGACTCAGCATCATGTGTAACATTTTGTTGGATGATGTGGATTCATGTCACAGCTGCCATAGGGAAGTATCAAGATGTTTCTAGAAATCTGCAGTCTTAGATGCAGAGCTCCTTGCTCATGGGTTCCTTAGCGTGAGTCATAAATATGATAAATGCTTCTGGAAACTGCAAAGCTGTCACCACTGCATCAGCTTAACTACCCCACATGAAGAATTCTGTACGTGCAGAGCCTATATAACACCAGGTGCTTCGAAAGGCCATTCCTCTTACCCAACTCTTCTTTCTGCTATTAGCTTTTATTTCCACTGATAATATAACCTTTGGCAGATGTAAACAGATATTAATGCTAACACCAGCTGACAGGTCCCCTCGCTCCCTCACTATAACAGGAGATTTGCCAAAAAAGGATCAGAATTGAGTTCTGTTTTTGTATCAGTGCCGTAACTGTGCAGTGTGAATAGTCAGCACTAACAATGAGACTGCACTTCAGTATGAAAGCTACAAATCAAAAGAAACAATGATAAAATCACCACACACTGGCTGTTGGAAAACAGAAAAAACAAGAAAAACATAAAACAAAGAAAGGTTTTCTTACAAAATACCCAAATCTTGGCTATGTCTGAAAAGCAACATTCCTTGGTGAAGTCCATCCCTGATGAAGGTATCATCAGATAACCCTTCTGCAGGGTCTGGCTCAGCCTGTTGCTGCCCTGGACTGTGCATACATCACTGATCCCTATGCAACAGGTAGTAAAGGAGTACCCACAGCTTCAAGTGTGATTCTGAAAAGCAGATAACCAGCACCTTCCTCTTTGAGATTAAATATTTTCTGGCTTCTGGAAATCTGAAGGAAGGAAATCCCACAATCTATTACATTCAACTCCATCACCACACTGCAGCCATTTCTATTGCAGCCTCCATGACAGCAGCTTCTACTTCTGAAATAATTTATTTCTCTTCAAGCTTCTGCAATAGCAATGTTCTGTGCTGCATTATCATCACAGCTAATGGAGAAGGGGGACAATGTTAGTGAGAAATGATGAAGAACAAAAAGCACTCTTGATTCTCAGTAAAAAAGTGGAGCGCCTGCCTTCATGGATCACCCAGTTCTACTCCCTTCCCATATTGTTCTCAACAGTAATAAGCCTCTTGTCTCAGTGAGGCCAGTTAACTAAATGACTTGTAAAATAATAAATCACCTGTTCTCGGTAACAATTTACAGCTCTGTGGGAATATTTCCAATTGCTCCTATCTCCATGAGACTGCTGTAGTTTCTAAGCAGATGGCAGGTATTTACTGTGAGTGACCTTTCTTTTATCACTTACAGGAGCTCCCCTGCAGCAATGACATATGGCAGATGGGGATCCTGGGGCCAGTGGTATTGACAACTGCTTGTTGGAAGACCTGACACCTCAGTAAGGAGAGGCTGGTCTGAGTTATGGGACTGGTATAACTCAGGAGGTAAGAACCCCAACTCCCATCACAAATTTGAATATGGAATATGGATAGTAATGTAAGCACTGTAGTCTTTCAGTACTGAATTGTTTTCTATTAATATTTTTTCCCATATTTTAAGTTACACAATATAAACTACCAATTCTGATAAAATAAAAAGTCCATTCTAAAATACATGTCATAGTATCTCTATACGTGAGGAAAAACTGAATCGGAGATATTTTAGTGTATCAAAATCATAAGGCAACAAAACATTTCAGAAATGTGAACACTGAAGTAACAGATGTTTTCAATTTCTGCTAAGCAGTGGGTTGAAAATAAGTTTTCATTTTGAAGCTTGGAATGATTTTTCAAATTTATGGGAAAATACATATGGTTGAGTGAGAGAAGGGAGAACAGTACAAGAAATAAGGCTAAGGGGAACACATCCTGTCAGTGCAAGTGTTCCAGGCACCGATCAGTGCAGTAAATGCTCCAAAGCCAGTTTTGCAAGCAACAAGTCAGAAATCCCAATGCCAAACATAGCAGTCAGAATGGTAGCAACAATTAAAGGTATTTTTCTAGCCTGGTTTGACTTTATTGCATCATAAGAGAGCTGTCAGGCTGTGCTGGCTACAGCTTCTCCATGTTTTAGGTAGGTATTCATTGTAGAGAAATGTGTGTAAGGCCCACTCCTAGCTCATGAAAGTGAGAAAAGCAGACATTAAAACAGATATTAAAAATGTGCTACCTTGAGAGAAGAATGAGATTAGTGTAATTATAATGATGAAGATAAAACTCCATCAGTGCTGGTTATTTCCTTGTAGAATGTTTTATAATGATTTCTCTGTCCACAGTGAGTGGAAACAGTTCATATCTACACTGTTAAGGACTCTTTGGGGCAACTTCTTCATCTTTGTGTCTGCACTGTCAGTCCTCCTAAGAGAGACTGACAGGTGCTCCTAAGAGATGAGCTGTCTCCTAACAATGTCCTTGCTAGCCTTCACCACTCTGGGCAATCTGAGCAATGTAGGGACACCCCCTCACACATAATTTAGATACAGGACAACTCCCATCTGATTCTTCCAAGTTATAAATAAGTGGCAGAATGCATAACCTTAGAAGAAAGATGGAGAAGGCCGAGTGAAAGGTGTAGCTGCTGGCATGCTGGTAGTGTGGCTAGGCTGGGCAGAAGGCATGGGCTGTCTGCCCCACTACCAGGTTACATGGTGGGAGAAGCAGGAGCGTGCAGCAGGAATCCAGCTCCACTCCTTGCTCTGTGCCATCCACGCTGTGCCAGTAAGGAACAGGTTATACCTGAACAGGGCTGATGGCCAGGTGACCATGACCTGTCTAGCTTCAGATCCCTGAGAAAGGCACTTTGACTCTGAAGGATGCAAAGTCTGGAGCCTGGCAAGGTCACACAGCTGTTGGAGGCAATGGGAGCTGACACTGCAGGAGGGGTAAGGAAAAAATGAGTGCCTTTTCTAAGATTTGCTGAATGTTGATTAAGCCAAGCCTTTTGTGTCCTCTAACTCAGTTTACATTCATGAACTGAGTTTGCATTTTCACTAAGTTCCTCAGGTGCTTTTGCACATCCTTTTACCACTTCAAAAATCAGTAATGGTCTTTCCTTTTAGCTAAATATAAACTTACCAACTTGCTTAGAGATCATTTAAGCAAACACCTTAAAAGAGCACCAGCACAAACCCTTAAATATACTTTAAAGCAGTGTCCTGCAGGCAGTAATATGAGCCAAACCTGAGGCCGTCATAGCCTGCTCATCATGGCCTATTACAGCCTATCTGTGATATTACTGGTCTAACCTAGATCCTGATGTTACTAATAGACACAGACACTTCAATGGCAACTTTTGACTGAAAGCGTTATTCACATCCCTAAATTAAGCAGTTGAGTATTGACAGGATCGTGACATTGGATTATTAGATCTTCAGAACAGGAATCCTCAGCTTGATAGTTTTCTCATCCTTGCACCTCTAGTCTAAATTAGCTTGTTGAAAAGCTATTTTTCACAGAGATTGGTTATATTGAACAAAAAGGTATATTTGCAGAGAGACAATTTCTTTTATTAAGTCCATATAGCTGAAAAAAGGGTTTGAGGCACACAAATCCCTCATTATCTGAAACAGAAAGTTTCAAACTAGATAGAGGATGGGCACTCTTTCTTGGCTTCTGCATTATTTACCTAAAAATCTCATTTCACTTACATTAAACCATTACAGTTTTCTCAGCACTACTTCCTGGAGGACCTGTGTAAATCAGCAGTAAAGAACAACAAAATTATAAATGAACCAAAACCTAAATTGTCTCTGTACTTTGTAAGCGTATGATCTTAAAATGACATGAATAAATCCTTGGGAACATAGGACTGGAAGGAACATTTGGTACCACTCAATTCAGCCTTCTGCTACAGTAACCCATCACCGCACAGAATTCCATTCATACACTTGTCAACCCTTAGCAATAGTAATGTGCACAGCTCTTGCAAAATCTCATTACTCCAAGAACTGGAAAACATGTAATTTCTAGTCAAAATATATGGTTGTCTGATGATTTATTCTTCAGTCAACATAAATCTTTACATAAATCTTGCTCCCTCATGTCTCCCACTTAATATGAAAAGCAAACACCCCTTTCAGAGTCTGTTTTCTGCAATTCTCCTGGCCTGTTCTCATGAATAGGACCCCATTCCATTTTGTTTTGTTTCTGTACAGTTTAAGATCATTCCTCTGGGTTGCGTAGGTACTGTATGTAGTATTCAACTTGTGATCTCATCTTTTTTATGCCTGAATGACACTGCCTGTTAGATGTCTTGTGGTGAGCTCATTCAGGCAGATACACTGCCTCAGTTATTGCCATACAAATCTCCATCAGCAGAAGTTCATGATTTTTATTCTCCAAGTGCATGCCCTTTTAGTTTTTAATAGATTTCATACCAATTCTATTACTCTGTTGTTCAGACCTCTCAGTTTATTGTCACAAGTAAACTTCATTGTCATACTCCCAGTCTTTACATTGATATCAGTAATGAAAATATTAAACAGGATTGGACTCAAAATGATCTTGAGGAATACCATGAGTAGCACTCCATCAGCCTGATGCTTCCTGCACTCAGCTTCTGGATACCTTTTTCTGTCTCTATTTTAATCAACATTTTTCTGTATATAATTCTGATTGCTTTCCTCTGACACACACTTCCTCCAGATTTGAAGACGCCCACTGTGGAACACCTGAAGTTCATATGTGGATTCTGCAGTTCAGACTGATCTTCACAACTACTTAACACTGAGACTTTTTATTACACTATCATAAGTTATAGCTGCTACAAACTTATTTTGAATGCAAGCTCACATTTAATGTTAACTCATCTGTCTTCTGTCTCTTTTCCTTAGTCAGAGGCACTCTTTTCAGCCAGATCATTTACACAAAAGGTAATTATGAATATTTCATATACTCACAATATATTGTTGGTGCAATTCTCTCACTTTCCATTGCGCTGACAGGGTTGGACACCAAACAGCTGTAGTTCCCAATGTCTTCTTTTGCAACAGGAACAATTAGAAGTGTAGCATTGTTTGATGAAAAAGTATAATTAGGGCCAGCATGGAGAGGCTTTCCATTTTTCATCCACTGGTAAACTACTCTTGTGCCTTTTCCCACGGTACATTTTAACGTAATATTACCCACGTACTCCACTACCCCTGAAGATGGCTCAGTGTGCACAATTGGCTGTGTGACAGGTACTATAAAAAAAAGAGATATGAAGAGTTATAAAATTGACTACCAGTACACTACAGTCTTCACTGCCAAAATAATACAAATAGCAGCCATCCTCCTCTCTGGAAAGTATTCATATTTCAAAGTGTGTTTATTAAATATGGTTAAAGAATAAAAAAAAGAAGGCGGTATTCTCATCTGGTAAGAATTTTCCCAGTACTTAAATAAAGCTAGACTGTTTATATTACTGGTTATGTGACACAGGCTGAAATTGGGTATATCATTGCTTCCAACTCTGGTCTAACAAACAAAACCCTGCAGCCACAGCAATGAAAAGAGTGGAATGGGTGATGCTGCCCACAGAGAGGGACTTCCCCAGCAGTGCTGCGAGGCTGACACTCTGAAACTCACTGCTGGCCAAGTCATGGGGATGGCTACTGCCTGGCATGGACATGGGAGTGAAATGGCAGCCACAACTGTATCACGTTAGTGTCTCATTCATTTAATTAATTCAGTCTAACCAGGGACAGGGCTCCCTCCATATAATCCATAAATTGCAGTACATTGAAAATTGATACATCCTGTCTGATAGAATAGTAGAGCCTTATGAAACTTTATTTCCTGTATTTCTCATATTAATTAATGGCTTTGAAACTCCTTAAAGTATTTTTTTTAAGTTCAAGAAATATTAGTTAACATCTTAAATTTGTTTAAAGATGACATATGGTAGCATTCCCTCCAGCAGTAGAAAATAACATAATTCAATTCTTGGCACTTATTTGTGCACGGTTAGATTAAATAGTGCACTACTATAACTGGATTCCAAGAACCATTACTTCAGATCTATTAAATTTTATTTTCAAACTGAAGATGCTACATTTTAGTAACTTACCATCAACAGCTACATGAATTTTTTCACTGGCAGCTACTGTCCTATTCCCACGGACATTGACTTTTACAATATAATTGCCCTCATCACTGATACGTAATGGATTGATCATCAAAGATGCATTAGGTGGTATGAGGGTAAACTTGTGCTGATATTCCAAGTCTGGTACTACTGTTTGGTTTACAGAGCCAAGCAGGTATTTCGGATTACTCCGAGGCTTCTCAAACAGCCAAATTATCTGTATCTCACAAGCTGTAGTGTTGAAATTGTAGTCAACAGTGAGCTGGAGTGGTTGCCCCTCGATACCATGGATAGTATGAGATGGTACTGTCAGCTTCAAGGCAGAACAAATACCTGCAGAAAAAATGAAGGAACAAACAGATACACCCAGAACACAAATGGGAACATTGGAAAACTGAAATGAGGAACTCTCACAGAGAAAAAACTCTCAGAGTTAAAGCTTAAACTTTTTTATGATTATGTTTCAGATTTCAAGTAAGAAATGGGGAAATGCTCGTTGAGTTTATTGGAATAGGATTTAGCTATAGATACCCAGCTTCAAAGTATGTGAAAAGCCAAACCTGAAAGGATATTTCTGATTTCTGGTTACAAAAAACTGTTGAAAGTTTAACAAAAATAAGGACAGGTGAATTTACCTTAATGTTTAAAATATTTTTGTTTTAACATATTCTCAGCTTGCAGAGCTTGTATTTTCTATGCAGTCTTGGACTACAAGCTCAAATTTAGGACTTCTTGTCTTATGTTTATCCAGAGAGAAATTTCTTAATGTTGCTTTTCCAGTTATACTGAGAAGCCATCTGAACAATCTAACAAGGCTCATTTCTTCACTTAAAATGATATAGTTATTATTACCTACACCTTATGTTTCAGACAAAATTCAAGAAACATAACTAATCTTGCAAAAATTACGTATTCCAATCATAGGAAAAAGAAGAATTAAGGTTTTCTGTAGATACGTACAAAAGCAAGATCTCAGTCCCATGATGAATCTTGTCATCTAGGAATCCTGCACTTTCAGGGTGCAAAATGGCCCCCTTCAACTAATCTGGCTTTCCCATCCTTTAGAATTGTTTTTTCTTCTGTCATCCTTAGGCAGATTTATAGAACATTACACAAGTTCGCCTAGGAATCTCCGGACATATTCTGTTCATTCAGCAACTGGTAAGGTTTATGAAAATAACAAACTCCAAAAATATGAGTAATTTTGCCTCACTCTTCATATAGCTGAACAACACTAGTCAACTAGGATGGCTTGCAGCATTGCTGAGGGTGAGGCACTAAAAAGGGAAGCAGCTTGGTGCAGTCCCATGGTAGAATGCTATAGGGACAATGTGTGCAAAGACGCTTAACCTCCTGACAGAAATACTCAACTTCTTGGGGACTGAAGAAGAAGCAGGCAGAGGACTTCATGTTGCATGGACACTGGTGTGGGGAGAACAGTGAGGAGTCAGCTGACATGGGAGGAGAAGGGGACAAAAAGGGAGGAAAAGGGTAGAAAAGATACAGAGATAGTTAACTGGAGGATGCACAGGAGCATGGTAAGTGCATGCTTAACTTTTTCAGATAAAAAACCTGAAGCAATTGAAGCACATCAAATTGAAACCTCCTCCCCTACTTCTTAAAGTATTTGTGGCCTGTTGTTCTTGTGCAGTTTTTTAAATGCTGTTTTTGACTCTTAGGGACGAGCTGACTCTTGTTAATGGAAGAAGAGTTGTTCTAATATTGAAGAGAGGTGAGTTTTTTTCCTGCAAACCTTACAATGCAAATCAAACTTAAACTGCTACTTTTCACTTGAGAGAATAATTCTTCAGTAAAGCCCTTCACAAAATATTTAATGGTGAAAGTAAATTTTCTATAAGCTACCTAACACATTCCAATTTTTAAATCTCCTTGAACAAAGTAAAAGAAATCTCTACAAATACTGGGAAATCTGTAAATGATTGATTAAAAGATCTGGCCATATTGTTCCTCATTCCTTACACATGACAGTGCTCAATTTTGGGGTTTCTCTAGCTGTCAGTAAGTGATCACATTGTACGACAAGAAGCCAGTAACAGCAGCAGTGGTAATTGCAAAATATGTGTAACAATTGATATTTCTTACAGATCTATGCAGAAAAGTATCAAAATCCAAGCAGGTCTAGTGAGTAGAAGGGTAACTGTGACTACTGGAACAAATGCTGTCACTATCACAGAAGAAGAAAAAGAAAGAAACTGGTGGCTGAATAACTTAATTTCTTTTCAGTTGAAAAAAAAAAAAGGGGGGTGTGGGGAAGAGAAACTGTAAATAAACTTCAACCTGATTCCACTTAACTTGTGGGAAAAACTGGCTCCATTCAACAGCATGGAAAGACATTGGGAGGTCAGTTAGGAACTTCTTTCAGCAAAGATGAAGGAAACTGAGGGAAGAAGCCCCATTTTTATTCCCAGCTGTCCACTGGGGAGCAGCTCTGAGTGATGGCGGGTGCTGCTGTCTCCTGAGGCGGCTTCACAGAGAGCCACTGAGGCTCCAAGCCGTCACTAGAGAAAGGAACTCTGACAAAGGGCTTATGGCAGCTGTGCTGGGTGATTGCTGCTTTAACAGTGATCAAATCTTCTGTGGTCTGGAATATTAGACTTATCTTATGGATAAAAGAAGTCAATGTGTCAAAATGTACTTCTTTCTCATCAGGCACAAATTCAATATAACTCAAACTTATCCCTATAGCTTTCTAAATAGAACAATAGATATTTTTCAAAGAGGACAGAATTCCGAAAACTATTTTTGTACATTGCCCATAAACCAAGAGGTTGTACAGAAATGACCTCCACTTGGAGCTCAGTGATCTGTGTTTTCTTCCATCTCACTTTGCTGCCACCAGTATTAGCAAGCACAACTGGATTACTGTTGACATAAAACAAGGGCTGCAGCTTTAGTTTAAATAAAAACTATGACATAACTTTTGAGTTTACTGCATAAACTGAAACCTTCTTACTGAAGTTTTATCATTCTCCAAATTTAAGATGCACATCTCCTTATCAAAGTGAAATCAGACCCTCAGTTACATTTCACTTGTGTGATCAGTAGGCTCTTTAGCACTCCAAAACCCCTGAACTTGTATACAATGTCACTGACAATAGTTTCCAAACTATCTGCAAATATATCAATTCGGAAAAAAAAAAAAAAAAAAGATAAAATGGACTGAAGAATCTGCTATTCCTCTACCACCATTTGCAGCAGAAGGGATTGAGGCACGTTCTTTCCAAGTTCGGAATTTTTGTCCAAGAACAAGCTCTACCTTATTTGACTTAACTCTGCCCTTGGAGGTCAATTCCTCTGGTGTTCCTTGTGTCATGCTCCAAGCACCTGATTTTTGTCACGATAAAAGGTGCAGGCTATGCATTTTTCACACTAGGAACGGTTTCTATCTGAGTAAGACTGTAAGACGTGATTTCCTGGTGAACAAGGATGGCCTCCAAAGCATTCTATGTGCATGCCAATATCTCTTTTAGAATCTTAATCAGAAATGTTCAACAATCTTGTAACGGAGATAAAGAACTGAATATTCATCATGTTCTTATCAGACAGGTATTTCATTTTTAAAGGCTGATAATCTTCATTAAAAACTGTGATGGCTAAGAAGCCAAAGCTCTTGATAAATTACTTAGCTCAAAATCAAGGAAACTAAGTGACTGTATATGAAGTTCGTGAAAAAGATAAAAGAAAAATTGTCAGAAAAGTATGTAGCATATTTGCAATGTCCTATATTCCCTCTGTTGATATCTTTGAAAACAATCAAGTACATAAAAAACAAATTACAAGACTCTGTAGAAATACAGCTTTATCTAACCTTTGATCACAGAATATCCCAGTAAAAGAGCACAGAACATCTGCTTTTTATCAAGTGTACCGATAAACGTATACTTATGCAAAATCTACAACCAAATGCTGAATAATTCTATTGTTAATGTAAGACACTCTTCAGTTGACTGAAAGATTAATTTAGTTTTAATACAAAATACATCAAAATATATACAAATTTTAGGTGTTAAATACAGTGCATCATAGTGAACTGAAAAACCTATCAACACTGTATTAACGTAATGCATTTTTAAAGAGATGTGTAACATCTTCTATACAAACTTTGTCTCAGAATCTGTCAAGTCTCACTTGTTAAAAACAATGCAGTATGTATATATTGCTTAACAAAACAGGAAAAAAGATATGTAATAATGCCAATACTTTATTTACAGATTACGTGCAGCATTAATTTTTGTCAGTTTCTAAAATTTTCAGTTCCATCCATAAAACATTTTATCTGATTAAAACTTATTGGCTACTTTCTTAAAATAAAGTATCTGACAATATAAGGGAAATGTCTTAAAATTTAGGAATATAAAAACAACTCAAATTTCCACAATGACAATCAAACATAACACATGCAGTTCCTTACCTACAAGCAGAAAATATACTTGGCACTTTAAGTCACAAAATAAGCTGGCTAGAGGGCTCCATGAAAGCATCCTGTCCCATACAAACACCACCTTCTTCTCAGTGCTAAGTCAGAGCTGGGACCAGCACCTGCTGGTTTATTTGCTAGGAAAATCAGCAACGAGTTAACAGGCCCTATCCTGTCCCCAGCCCTGTCTGATTTGAATATGTGTATACACAGAACAAAGGGAGTGGAGCACCTGTTAGATGAGCACCCATCTTCATTGCCTCTGACTTCAACATAACCCTTCCCTAGCAGCCGCAGTAAATATGACAGAGAATATAATAAATGAGGCGCAGAATAATACAGAGTACCTTGAATTATCAAAAATAAGTGAACACACCCAACACATAGGTTATATAGGTATTAACATCCTTTAGTTACACTGTTTTATAGAAAAGACTATGCTGCTAGATGGTTCTGCTCATTCCAAATTAGTATGTAGTATTTGGTACATTAGTATTTAGACTTTTCTCTTTTCTTTTCTTTTCTTTTCTTTTCTTTTCTTTTCTTTTCTTTTCTTTTCTTTTCTTTTCTTTTCTCTCTTTTCTCTCTTCTCTTCTTTCTTTTCTTTTCTTTTCTTTTCTTTTCTTTTCTTTTCTTTTCTTTTCTTTTCTCTCTTCTCTCTTCTCTTCTCTTTTCTTCTCTTTTCTTTTCTTTTCTCTCTTCTCTTCTTTCTTTTCTTTTCTTTTCTTTTCTTTTCTTTTCTTTTCTTTTCTTTTCTTTTCTTTTCTTCTTTTCTCTTCTTTTCTTTTCTTTTCCTCTTCTTTTCAGATGAGAACTTTTCCATTGAATGTCTTTTCTTTCCTTCTATTTTTTAAAGAAACATATTTAAAAAAATACAAAGCTGTGACTAAATTATTATCAATTTCTTCCTTAACATACGTGTAACAGGGGAACAATTTCATTCCCCTCCTCTGAGCACCTTGTAATATGAAGTATCCATCAGGAATCTTCTAACAGAGTCCTGTAGTAGCGTGCACAACCCACTAGAGCTGTTGAGTTAGCTGCTGATTTCTGTTTATTCTGAGCGAACTTACATCGGTTTAATATTAATATTAATGTATGATTTGGATTTTGTCCAAGGCTGCCACTCACTGTACAAACCTAATCAGCAGCACACCAGGCAGCCCTCCTGCAACTTGCATGTGCAGAAACAGTTTGCAACAGCAAATATTTGCATCAACAGAGATGATTTATCCATAGAAAAACACATTAAGTTTTCATTACACTGTTATGGATGAACAAATTCCTGCCTTGTGCAGGACGGATGGCAGCAGGGAACTGATCCCCCACACTGTGTGCCTGTGCTGGTGCTCGGGGTCCTGCAGAGTGCTAAGCCACTGCTGTAAAGAATGAACCTTTGATTTCTGCTTCACTTAAAAGGAGGTGAAAATGCCCAGACCCTTCCAGAATTTTTACCAGCTCTGTATGATCAAATGTAATGAATATGAGTGCTATGTCACAGATTCCAATTAATTTCTAACTGAAATGAATGGGAGCCTTCTCACTGGGATGAAGTCAGTGCTGATGTTCTAAATGTCTGATGTGGGTGAAGAAAACAAATGATAAAAACAAAAACCAAACACCAGAAGAACAACAGATTAGCACAGATACATATTTCAAATCAGTACATCCCCTTATTTCCTGGATATGTTCTTGATGCCATTAATCCACTGGCATTTTTTTACACCAAATAGCTCACACAAAGTTACCACGGCCTCGCAGAGTGGCTTAGGTTGGAAGGAACCTCTAAGCCCACCCATCTCTCACCACGCCATGGGCAGGGCTGCCCCCACCAGCTCAGGCTGCCCGGGGCCCATCGGACGCAACCTGGAGCACCTCCAGGGATGGGGAACCACAGCTCTGTGCTTCTCGGCCAGGTACCGACACAAGCCCGATCTGGCCATGCACAACTGCATGCTCATTTTGTCTTCTAGCAAAGCCTAAATACGCCGTGCTCCAACCCAGGAGACACGTGGCGTGCGAGGAAATCCACCCTGGCCCCGAAAGCCGGCGTGGGCAGACACGGTGCGGCGACGGGCTGACGGCAAGCCACGCTTTCGGTGACCCGCTTTAACGGCGCCCTTAAGCAGCACCCGCACCTCCCACCCAATTCCGGATCTGATGAACGAACTGACGCCGCATCCCGCCCCGCTCGCTGCGGCCCGCCTTCCTCCGCGTCCTCTCCCTCCCCCGCCGGGCCGACGGGGTTTGTAGTTTGCGGGCGCCCGGCCGCCCCAGGACTACGGCTCCCAGGGATCCGCGGGCGGACGGGCGGGCGCGGTCAGGTGGCGTCCAACATGGCTTCCCCGTGCCGGCCCCGGCCGTAGCGCTGCCGCGGGGGCTGCGGGGCGCCTCGGGGCCGCCATGCAGAAGATCAAGTCGCTGATGACCCGGCAGGTGAGCGGTGCGGGGCCGGGCGCGGCGGAGAGCCGCGTTGGTACGGCCGTTCCTTTCTCGAAGCGTGATTTTGGGGGTGCCGGGCCGCGGCGCAGCGACGTGGCTTTGTCCGTCAGTCACGGCGTGTCCGGTGGGAAGGGAGGCGAGGGCTTGGAGGTGCTGGGGGAGCTGTGCGGCGGCGCGGGGCGGCTGGGCTGTCCGTCGTGCTCCTGTCAGCCCGCCTGGTGCGTAGCCGTGCGTCCGCATTGCTCTGGGCCTCGGGGCTCCGCCTGAGCTCGCTCTGGGCGCTGTGCCTGCCGAGGGAACTCACCGTGACGCAGGTCTCTGCCCCCAGGGCTCTGTTTGGTTTTGGTTCAGTTGGTTTGTTTTCATTCAGGAGTCATTTAGAGCCCTTTTTTTTATGTCCAGGTCCAGTCTTGTCTGCGTTCTGCACAGGATGCAGTGCTATGTCCATAGGAATGCTTGTGGGAAGGCTGCCCAGCATGGGCTGAAAATGGTACAGCTTTGGCAATCCTCAGCCTTTGGGAAAGGGTTAAATCCTGTGCAGCGTTCAGTAAGGGCAGGCTTTAACTGGTGGTGGAGATGAGCTGCCTTTACTGCCAATTTTGGGGGTGTTTGTGGGAGGTTTTGGGTGAAGTATGAGAAGCTGCAACAGGTGCTTTGTGCTGCCCGCTACCTGCCTTGAGCTCCAGCTCTGTGGTGATCAGCTGCCCTCGCTGGTGGTAACCAGCAAGGGAGGATGTTGTCAAATGAAGCCCAAGAAAATCTGAAACTCAAAACCAGAGGGAGGAGGTTTTGCATACTAGGAGGATGAAACTGTGAAGTGTGGTAGCTACCGTTAGTGGTGAAGTTGTAAAGCACGCTGTCAGTTTCAGAGAATAAATAAAGACTTTTCTCACTGTAAGCTTCTGTAGTAATGTCACAGCCCCTTTGCCTTCAGAGAAAGCATTGGTACCCCAGATGTGAAAGGGACTTATGAGCAATATGCTTAGTATCATAGGGGGAGGAGATAGGGAAGCCTGGCTGAATCTCACGGCTCACGTGAACTGCCTGGGTTCTCAAAGGAAGGCTGGAGTCAGAAACATATCTGGAACTTGAATGTTCAAGTTCACTTCTGCCTCGAAAGCTAGCAAAAAGTGTGCTAAGAAACTTACTCTGTGTTATTGCCTCATAAGGTTGTAAATGTATTGGACATTCAGCAAATATACTTGGCTGGTTACAGATGCTTCCTGTAGCTTCTGTCTACTAGTGCATATTCTGTCCATGGATTTGATGTGGATTTGAAAGAATAATAATTATTTAAAAGAGTTAATGTGGATTATGCATCTTTTTCAGTTTAGTTATACATATGTAAAATGTGTCCTAATAGTTTTACATGGTAAATTGAGAAATATGCCATCATACAAAAATAATATAATTATGCCACAGAGTGGGTAGCACTTACCTTGAATTTGATTATTTGATTCCATTAAATCATTAAGCTAGGAGAACAAATTACATTATGCTTTTTGAACATGTTTGCATTTTTTAAACATCTGGAAGTTGACAGGAGTAAGTGGACTTAGCTAAGTGGATGTTACTGAAGAGAACTGTTGCAGCATAAAGAGTTTGAGTTGTTTGAAGAACGTAATTTATACACCAGTGATCTCATTTAAGTTCTTATAGAATAAGCCTTTTGCAGTTTATTAAAAAACTTACAGGTTTATAATCATCAGCAGCAGGCGAGAGTTGTGCAGTTTGATTTCAAGATATGTAAAGTAATCAACATTAACTGATGATTAAAATTCTTTTAAAGGGTCTGAGAAGTCCTCAGGAGAGTGTTCATGACCTCAGTCCTATTGAAAACCTCCGGTTTCCTACTAAGGTATGATTCCATCCGCTTCATTTTTCGTTTTATATTTAAATGATACGTTGTTTTGGTTTTTTTGTTTTGTCCCAGCATCTGCTTTGCTGCTGTTCTTTTTTGACACCTTTTTTTTCATCCTGAATATATCTTTTGAAATATTTTTATGAAAGAATTGAATTGCAAAGTAAAGCAGTGCACCAAATCAAAATGAAGATGCTTTAAAATTTCTTTCTTGGAACTTCAGAGTTGTCACTCATATAGTTCTAATATTGATTTTCAGTCTCTTCATGGGTTTGCTGCCATTAAGTTTGTTTCAGAATTTTGTGATTTTCATCTTCAGTATACATCATTAACTTTATTTTCTGCTGTATTTGTTATAACTATAATAATAATGCCTTTGTTTTTATTTGTCTTGCTGCTTAAAATATATGAGCTCTCTGTTATCCCACATTTTGGCCACTCCTTATACCCTGTTGGTCTGACCAGATGATTCACAAGACTTGCTGTGGATGATGCTTATTGTTTTCCTCTAATATGGACTTTGCCTTTAACCACAGAGTTGCTTAAGTTACTCGGTTGATGTCTTATTTTAGCATTAAAATTCTGTGTTTCTCTGTTTCTGTGTAGGTACTTTGTAATATGATGCTTGTGCTGAGGCAGACCAGAAAATCAATGTTATTCTTTGTTTAAAAAAATCTAATAACTATCTCTAAATTGGTACATAATATTCTATTAAACAGTGGTCAATGTATTGATTTCAAAGACTCGAGGTATTCAATTGCAGTGATGTTGAAAGAACTGCCTCATCTCTATGGCTCAGATTTCAAAACTTCAGATTCCTGCCAGCTACTGAGCATCGAATTTCAGACTGTCTTTCTAGCCAAGTTGACTCTGCAGGTAAAAATAGATGTAGGGTATCTTGGCTGGGTTTCTGTTATGTGGCGGTTTGATGTTTTGTGTCTGGTAAGCCTACACTTTGTATTGCTAACAATGGGAAAACACGTCTCAATAATTTGCAAGTTTTTTTCATTAATTTCTGTCAGATTTCTGGCAGTTGTATGCCATCAACCCTTTGTAATGTGACAGCACTGTCTTCAGCTGTTTTGCAAACAGAATCTTGTGAAAATTAGGGATTTTGTGCCTGAAAAGACAAGATTGCAGCAACATTAGAACTTGGAACTTTTAAAAAGTTGTTCTCTCGTGTGCCATAGATAAAACTTTTATATTTTTAGTTTTGTTTTTTTTGTTGTTCCTTACAAAATGTTTTATGTAAGAAGTAACTACTATACTCAGATTTTTTTCTGAATATTCAGATTCTGAGTATTCTGAGAGATTTAAGTTAACTTTCTCTTTCTCAAAAAGCTGTATTCAGTGAAACACCTGCACAGGTCACTGTTTATCTGAAAAAGAAAACATGGGGTCAGCTGAATATTGAGTAAAAATACTGACTTTTGATCAGTTTAGCTCCTGGTTTTGGTCCCAAGCTGTTTGTCAGCTTCAGTTCCAGGCCTTGCCTGGGAGGGAGGATTTATATTGGCATGCCTCCTTTACTTTGCTACAACCTTCATTGTATGATTTTACTTTTCAAATGATAAGACATCAGACGAGACACTGTAAGATGTCTTCTACACTGTGGGCTTAGATTCTGATACCTGTTCTTGAAAGCAGGAATTTGTGGTGGTGTTTGTGTTTGCTGTGTGCATAACCATCAAGGAGATTAGGTTTCAGTACTGCACAGAAGTTGAAAGTCATTGAGCCCTTGGATATAGGTATTTCTTCTGAACTGAACTTGTGTTTGATGCCACAGCAACATACTGACGTCACCAATCAGAATTACATAATAACTACTGGATAAAGCAGCTTTGCTGGATGTAAGCTAATCCCTCTTGTAAATCTTTTATAGCAGTCAACAAGTTTGGTAAAGGAAATTGAAAGACAAAGACAAAAATAAATTCAAAATAAAGAGAAGCACAGATTCAACTCATATGAAGGTTAAATGGAAAATACAGGGGACAGGCAAAGAGATGCACTGATGTTGTATTCCCTCAGATTCTTTTTGGTCTTAATATACGAAAGCTGCTTCCTAATAAGCATGTGAAAGTGGTGAGGATATTCCTCTATTTTGTGGGTTGTGTGTGGTGGGGCTTTTTGTTTTTTTGTTGTTTTTTTTTTTGTATTTTTTTTCCCCCTTCTTTTCCTGACCAATGAAATGGTTTGCTACCTGAATCTTTTACTGAATACCCCTGAGTGTATGAGATCACATTAACCATTGCTCCCAATGGGTTCTGCAACTATGCGGAAAGAATTTTGGTCTGCTTGCATCATATGAAGATGAATCACCAGCTAACATGTTCAAGTTTCTCTTGTCAAACGGAATCATGCTGCCAACTTGTCACCCAGAGCAATGCATCTAGAATAGTTAAGTCAGTGATACGATCTGTAGATCAGAGAAATATGAGCTGAAAAGCAAATTTTCTCTAGAAGAGAGAGGAGATGTATTGTGGGGTTTTTTTTTGTTTGTTTGTTTTTTGTTTTTTTGGTTGAGGTACTGTACTTCATCCATGCCCTGATTGCTCAGGGGAACTGTGGTTATTCTTTTTTTTTGTTGAAAATGGTGTGTGTTAAGAATGATACAGAATTGCGCTACTGACTTTTGAACTCCTCTGCTGTTCTCATTTTGTTATTTTCCAAGCTGTTAACACATTTATTTAATAGATTCTGTTAGAGGGTGTTGAGAGGTATTTAGTACACTTGAATTCAAGTGTATTAATAACAAGGTGACTTTGAATTCCATAAATTTCTATATTGACAATAATCAGCTCATATGCGGTGTATAAAAAGTAGTTGACTTTGTCTTATGGTTGTAAACAACATTTGAAGAAGTTTATTTTTAATGCTTTTCCTATAGTGATATGGCTAGAATCCCTGTTGTGTGCTTCTGTTTATATGTATAAAAATAACTTTTACATGTAGCTTATTTGATGGATGCTGGCCCACTGTTGGGCTCATCCTGGAGTTTGGGAAGAGCTTTTCTCTTAATGCAGGTGTTATCTGAGCTCAGAATGGAGGGATATAAGTTGACAGCACGTTCAGTGTTCTTTCGCTCATGAGGAGAGTAGAGAGGCTGTGTCCAAGTGAGTAATGAGCAAATTTGGCCCCTGGCTCTCTTGGTAGGGTTGCATCAGCTATCACTCACCTTGAGCTTCTAATTAGGCTCGAAGCTTTTTAGATTTTTTTTTCTTTGTCTAAATGGTATCTATTAACACTCCTGATCACAAACTTTTCTTAATGCCTGCTTCCCAAGTCTTTTGGTTGATTGTGACAAGAATGCAGAAGGCGTTTGCTTCAACTCTGTACTGGTGAGGCTTTGTTAGCAATGTTTTTCATGTTGCAGGCAGCGTAGAACAAAAGAGTGGGAGTGTGACATAAGGAAATAGCTAGGTAAGTGATCTGAAACTTCCTGAACTGCCATTCAGATGAGTCTGCAATGAAATGACTCTTCTGAAATAAAGGTCAGGTAATTGCTGTGGGCTCTCAGAACCATGAACTTCTGTTTCCATAGGCCAGGAAGGCAAAACACTGTGGGAAGTTTGTGGACGTAAACACTTTTTTTTTTAAGAAGCAGTGGCTTCTTCAAATTTGCAAGGTGGCAGACAGACAGTTCTTTGTTTCTACACCCACACCCTGCCCAGAAACTATCTTTCTCTGTTCTGTATAGGTGGCACTGTGTGAGTCAGAAGACAATACTTATGTCCTCCAGAGAAGTGTGTTTGACAGGTTAAGCTGTCATTCTGTGAAAGTGTGGTCCAAAGTACTGGCAAAAAAAAAAAAGGAAATAAATCCTGTTTGCACATCACCACAAGTGGTGGGTGTTTTAAGTAGGTAAAGCAAAACTTAAGAAAAATGAGTAGCCCTTGTAATAGCATTTTAGCTGGCTGTTTGGAGAGTTCCCACTGCTGGATGTGTGCATTAATCTGGGCAGCTGGACTATAGTGCTTGGGTCCACTGTGCTGATGTGCTGCTCTTACTGATCTCCAGTGTATGTGATTCAGTTTAGCAGTGGTGAAATTGTCTGCGTGATAATCATGACAGGGTTCCTTCCATCCCAATTATATGTATGTACAAATATATATATATATTTGTATATTTTTCTATTCAGATAACTTCTTGGAACTTCTGAATGCACATCAAACTTCCTATTAAAGAATGCTGTACTGTTGATTTTTTGTTAAATTATTTTTAGAAGGCAGATATTTCAATAGCAATAATTAAAAAAAAAAATGTTTTGAGGTAGAAAACTGCCTTGAGGGATTTAACTGATCTTCTCTCTGTGGCTCTGCACAGTGTGCAAATACTCATTCCACAGTGCAAAATCTGTCCTTCCCTGAGGCCCGTGAAACTGTGAGCTTCATATGTAGATTGGAAACTTTTTTGTGTATCTGGTTGAAGGGATAAGGAGAAATGAATATCACCAAACAAACTAGCCGAGGATGTTTGCTTCCTTCAGTGGCGAGAGAAGGGTCTGGCCTTGAGGCTTCAGTTGTCTGAAACTAGTGGAGCATGATGGACTGGAAGCAGCAGTTTATCACAGCCTAATGTCTGCTGGCAAATATTGTAATGGATATGGGAGCTTAAGCTTATCCTGCGGAGTCGTTTTCTGTACTGTTCCTCTAGAAAGAGTGAATAAGATAAAGAAAAAATCTGTCTATTTAACAGATGTTTGCCTAGTTAGTGTTTTGGAAAGAAATTAAGGAAAAAAATGACCATTCTGAGAAAGGAAAAAATGGATTTTTGGTAATTTTTCTAGCCACGTAAATCTCAGCTTTATGTTTGTAGTGACAGATGTGGTATTCTGCAAAGATGAAAGGGTCACTGGCTAGGTTTCATTGAAATGTTTGTATTAACAACAGCCTTCCCAACTGATTATCATATCAAATGGCTCTAAATCCAGAACAACACATGTCCCCAATAGCTTTCTTAATGTATGAGAGGGGCTGTCAGTCACCACTCATCTACCTATGGCATTGACATACCCTGTCACCAGTGTGACAGCTCTGGAAATCCAAATGGTTCTAAACATTTCCTGGATTTTGTTTTTGCTTCCTTTTCCTTTTAACAAACCACCGTTCTGAAACTTGTAGCCACACACCCAGGTGATAAATTAGGTGATTCCATTTGCAGGGCATTAGTGAACAAATTAAGCCAACCCTGCTGCCCATCTTAGATAAGTTTTAATTTCGGTTGTTATAGATAAAACTCAATGTACTGTAAAATATTAAGGCAGTTTATAAGGGAGCTGTTGGTACAGCATAAAGCTGCCATCTGTTAGGAAGCCCAGAAGGGAAAAAATATTTTTATTTTTAATGTTTTTTATTTCCTTGTGAGAAGTACTTCAGAGGAGCAGTGGCTGGTTGTGATGCTTTAGGAAGCTCCTTGCTACTCACCCCGTGCCTGGCTCTATTTGTACAGAAAAGCATCATCTTGCTCTGTGTTTTGGTAAGCATTGTTCTTTCTAGGATGTGATGTTATATAATGGAAATCATCTTTTTTTGTTTTATGAAGGAGGAACTCAGAGAATCATGGGAAGAACCAACTGATCCTCAAGCTCAGCAAGAAATAATTAATAGCATTGAAGAAGTTTATTTTTCCAATGATGCCTTTGATATTGTGAAGTATGAATTGGAGGTGAGTTGTTTTTGTAAAAGAAAAGGCAATAATATAGATAAAAACAAGGGTCAAAAGTCAACTTCTGTCAGTAATGCACTTCCATGCAAAACTGCTTGGTTTTGTTTTTGTTTCCCCCTCCCTGCCCCTGAATCTTCTTGCTGTTATATGGAGCTTCTATCATATGATATTGGTATGGAGTTTCTTCTTTTAATGTGATAGAATTAATATCAAGCCTGTTGTTCTGACCTTTACACTACTTTAAACTACTTCGAAAAAGGCCATATATTTGGAGGAAAAAACATCTGCTCTATTTTTTTTTTTAAGCAGCCTGAATTAACAGACACGAGTCATTTCAATGACGTGAGCCTTGTGTATGTGTATATATGGCTTAAAAGAGGATAATTATGATATTATATTCTTTAAAACTGATTTAAGTATTCTTAATTTGAATACAAATTAGATTGCAGAAGCAGTAAGAAAGTTTCCTAAATAAAAGTGTTTGGTTAGATTATGCTGCCTGTGTATTTTGTTTACTTTAATTTCTCACTGAATTTTATTTGTTATTTATGTGCAGAGGCTTCCTCCTGTACTTAGTCTTCAAGAACTGGAAGAATATAGAGACAAATTAAAGCAACAGCAAGCTGCTGTAAGTAAAGCTGTTTAGTGTACTGCCAGGCAGATTTTTGCATTGTTTATGACTGTAGCTAGAAGTAACTGAATGTGTTTTGATTTCTTAAACCTGCTAGATAATGAGCTTTTTTTTTTTTTTTTCATTTGAATGTTGTTGTGTTCTTTTATAAGGGAAAATCATACCAGTAAATCCTATAGTCATAGGAAATAATGTAAGTAAATCATGGTGATAAGTATTGTAATGAGGATTAAACGGTATAATGATTTCTTTAGAAACTTTATTTTCTGGGTGTTCAGTTTTGCAATATATTGGAAGGAATAGCATAGTGTTTAATAGTGTTGTACTGTCTCTTTTTGAGGGATATTTGGCAACATAAAATATTGAAAAATATCTATTTTCTTAGAGTTTGTATTCTCTCATTTTTTATTTGCTTTTTTTTTTTAATTGCTCATGAGGGTGTCTAGTGAATGCTATATATACTTACTATGAAATGTAATAATGAATTTATGTGGAAACGAGAGCGTCAGCTTCTGACAAATACTTGTTATATTTCAGGCTCTTATAATTTTATTTTTATTCATCTATTAATAATTGAGTAATTGCTCTGAAAGATTAATAATATCATATAGGAAATGAATGCACCATCTATGGCATTTGGCAAGTAAAATAACAGTATTAATCCTCATTTGTGTCTTTAAATGGATGAAATGTACAAAACAAAAATACTGAACCATTAACAACACAGAACAGAAAAATTATTTTGTCCTACAACTCTGTGCCAGTGAAGCTTTTCCTAGAAAAAACGTATGAAATTTTGTGAAGTATTAGAGAGAGGTGGGCAAATGAATATTCCATGATCATCCTCACCATGAGATGTACTTATTTATTTTAGTCTGCTTGGGAATAAAAGTCTATGAGGACATCTGCTGGTGACCTAGTTTTGCAAGGAGATACACTCAAGGCTGAGAGGCAACTGCAAAGGAATATGCTGAATAGTCTCAATACTTGATATCAATGTCTTGGCCATTCTGCATGTACAGTGAGAAGCAGCTAAGAGTATTTTCAGTGCCTGTCTGTGTCTGAGATGCAAACTGGAATATACATGTAGCTGACAAATAATATAGAAGAGAACTGAGAATTAAGTTTTGCTCATGTGGCTCATATGTGTTTTTCTAGATTATTAGTTACAGGACTCAGTAAAAACAGTTACTCTGCTTTTGAAAAATAATAAAAGCTTTTTCATTTCAGTGGCTGAATCTGTAGCTGGCATAGGAATTTACTATAGTGATTTAGATTGAAACTTTTACATTTCTATAATACAAAATCATCAAGTGACTGTGAATTATTTGTGGTACAACTCTGGTCTTCCACTTCTTGCTGACTGTTACTTTCTGCTTTTGCACTGTTTATCTTGGTCGTGCCCTTGTTTTAGGAGTCACTTTAGACTACAGACTTCCTGCTGTTTCTCCTTTTCATTACAATTCTACTGAGAAGATACCAAACCACTTGGTTTTTCTGTAATATGTGTGTTGTGACAGCTTTTATTTGAGCAGGCATCTGGGTACAGATAATTTGAATTAGAAGATTTTTTTTCTGCTGTGTATCTGTTTGACTTCATTTTAATTGAGTCTGATATCCATAACTCTTTTTTTTTTTTTTTTTTTTAAACTGTAGGAGACAAAATATTTAAGCCTGATGAAATCTTTTCCTGCAGTCCTACCCTGCAAGGAGCAGTTCTTTTGCTGTTCTGCAAAACATAGCTATATTTCTTTTATTGAGCAACTGAGTTGAAAACCATTTGGTGATCCTGACCATATTTTAATGTGGAAGAGGGAAAACGTTCTCTTGTCCAGATTGCCAGCTGATAGTATCAGTGTCCTTTGAAAACCATTTGTATGCAGGTGTTCTTCCAAAGGATGAGAACTGATGTGGTGGAGCTACTGTAACTTTGTTGCAGAAATACTACACTGTGAAGATCCCAATCTCACACTGTGTTGGTATAACCAATTTATAATCTCTGCTTATTTATAAATTCAAAACAGAAGAACCTCCTAATCTCTTTTTCCCACAAGTTCATTGAGGCTGACAGTCAGAGTTGTATTTATTTTACTTTTGTTTCTGGAAGTATTGGTCTCTGGGAAGAATATAGAGCAATACAGATAATTTATTTTTGTGTTTGAAGCTGTTTAATACTGTATCTGCCAGAAACAAAAGCACGTTTGTGGCTTTCTTAGATCTCCATGGTAGAAGTTTAATTCGTTTTTTGCTCTAGCAGTAGCATAAACAGAATGTAAGCAGCTGTAGTGTTCCATATAATTTCCCTTTTTCATTCTAGCAAGTTAAGAAGCAGAGACCACTTGTTCCTATTACTTTACTATGGCTATTTTATTGAGATTGTTGTTTATCACTGGTAATACTCTTGTTTTTAAGGTATCTAAGAAAGTTGCGGACTTGATTCTTGAAAAACAACCTGCATACGTTCAGGTAAGGCAACAACTTTTTAACAGCAAACCACACAATTTAGTACTGTTAGAATACTGCTCTCATTTCATTGCAGCTTAAATATAGTACTGGGTGAGAAGAGACTGGGTTAGCTAGTGAAGGGATCAGCCTGGTTGCCTCTTCTGCAGTAGCTGGAGGAAAAATAAGAAAAATGTAAGGGTAATATTATTTCACTTTTAGGTAAAAAGGTGCAGTGGAATTTTATTGCAGAAAGAAGCTGGGTAGTGCTTTAATGATTGAGTGTTCAGAAAGTAGTTTGGAGTTGACCAGAAAAACAGTTCTGATTTCAAACTTTGCTGGTATACTTTTGTTGTTGCACACTTCTGGAATTGATAATGTTGTTGAGCCATTGCTATTACTCCTATACTTAGCAGCTACTTTTTAACAGCTTCTAAGCATAACAGCATTGTGGAGAATGTGCTTCTTACATTTTACTGTGTAATATTTAAATTCTTATATCAACAACATCTGAGTGAGATGCACAAAGGGATGATTATAAATCCATTGTGCCAATAAAAGTTTTTTAAAAACATTTCTCAAATATTTACCTGATTAAGTCAATATTTACCTGATTAAGTTAATAATCCTGTGCTATTTGTGGTCACAGATTTCCACAGAGTTATTGTTGTCAGTAGACTTACCAGAGATTTCTGGTGGGCATTATGAGACTCTCTCTCACCTTCCCACTGATTCATAAAGTGATGCTGTGGGTACTTGGTAATGGCAACACCAACTCCCTCTCAAGTGACAGTGATGAGTTACTAGATAAAGCAAAGTTGTAATTATCAGTCCGGTGGACATGTTGATTCAGCTTGCAAAGGAAAGTGTGGGGAAGTCATGGTTTGCACCCCTCTTTTCATAGATGTCCTGATCTAGCAGCCATGTTTGTGGAGTGTGAGAGGCACAAGGCATAATAGTTTTGTTGCTGTCTCAAAAGGAGAGGCTTACTTTAGGAAACACCAGTTACTCTGAGATAAGGGAAAAAGGTGTTGAGCCCTAGCTGCTCAACTAAAGGCTCCTTTTCCATGGACCATTAGGCTGTATTGTTTCCTTGTGTCTCTCCGACTATTTTCAGATGAAAAATTTTACAGAACCTTGTAGAGGGGAAGACTGGACTTCTGGCATCTTAATGCAAATGAATTCATGTGCTTATTTCCCTGATCACTTTGATGTGGTGTATTCTATTCATTTTATATAGTCTCCTATGCTGAATGTAAAGTATATAAATGTAGAAGTTCTCATGCAATGAAAGTATATTTCAAGTATATTTCTTCAAAGAATTGCATTTTAAAAGAATTTGCTTTAATGTTTGTTTGTTTAATGTTACATTCTAGCTGTAAGCAAACATAACATGATGAAATAAGTAATATATAAATTAAATTGTTATAATAACATCTCAAGATAGAATCATGGCATCACCAAGATTGGAAAAGACCTCCAAGATCATCCAGTCCAACTGTCCACTTACCAATATTTCCCCACTAAACTGTGCTCCTCAGCACAAATCTAAATGTTTCTTTTCACCTGCAGGGACGGTGACTCCCTGGGCAGCCCATTCCAGCACCTCACCATTCTTTTGGAGAAGAAATTTTTCCAAATATCTAACCTGAACCTCTCCTGGTGCAGCTTGAGGCCATTCCCTCTAGTCTTGTCAAATAGATAAAGATACTAGTTGCTAGTCGTTGCTAGTTTGTAGCACAACTTGTATGATTGTTTCACCTGTTGTCTCTTTGTAGGAACTGGAACGTGTTACATCGTTGCAGAATGGCCTTCAGTTAGCAGCTGTTATTTGTGCCGATGGAAGAAGGTATCTAGTTTAATAGCAGAAACTGAAAAGGGAAAAAGGGATTTAAGAAGACATTAATAAATCCAGGAGGTTGCTTACTATTAATATTTCTAGTGTATGTGCTGAATAGAATTGGCAATAGTAGTACAAAATACTAAAACAAGTTGCTTACCGGTTGCTTTCTGTCTTTTGCATCTTTTGTTGTAAGGGGGGGGTTCTGTTTAAGCAGATACCTTTAGAGGTGCACCACTGATCCACAGACAAATTCTGCTGAAGGGATGACGTATCTTCTTACTAGTCTGTTGGTATTATCTCAATTTCAGCATTTCCCTAACACTGCTGATGTTACTTTGTACATATTTTGTAGCACTTATGGTGATGTATGTGGTAGCATTTATTTAAAATAAGTCTTTATGTATCATTGAAGTTTATCGTGTTCATTTTTAATTTACACAGACACCTGAATATTGCAAAAGAAGGCTTCACACAAACCAGTTTGGGACTTCTTGCAAACCAAAGGAAAAGACAATTGCTTATTGGACTGCTGAAGTCTCTGAGGACGATAAAAACACTGGTATGTGCAGCGTTTTTTTTTCCCAATTAATAGCAGAATATTTTTTGTACATTCCTTTGTAGTTATCAGTGTTTTCTTTTTCTTTTCAGCAAAGAACTGATGTGCGTTTAAGTGAAATGCTGGAGGTAAGTCTCTGCCAGATTACTGTATCTTGAAGCTATTCTGAATCATCTTCTCTTAGTCCTCTTAATTTTATCTCTTCTTCCTTCATCTTATGAATAGGATATGATGGGTCTTTGTAGTGGAATAATGTATTTCCTTTTATTTAGTGGCTTAATGTTTTAATAGTGAGTTATATAAAATGTTTAGTCCATAGGCTGTGGCACTGAAGATTCTACTGATAAAATGTATGTATGCTACCCAAAATGTAGGAGGTAACGTGCAGACTGAAAATAAGATCTTGTCTTTAGGTTTTTAAGTTGTATGAAAGCTTGACAAGTTTATTGATGGCTATATTTTAATAATATCATGTAAGAATTTTGACTTGTAGATTCCTGAATATTTATAGCTGATGTCAGATCAGATGGATCATCATTGTGATAATCCCTAGTTACTCAATTTAGAGATGGAATCTTACTACTTTTTAGTCTTTAGATTCTTAAATCCCATCGTGGGTAACATACGTTGTCTCTCACTTTGTTACCCTTTACCAAGCAAGATATATTAATTCTTAGCATTCCTTTTTTTT